TCAGATGAAGAAAAGTACATTCGGCAGGACTGTCCAACAGTCCGTGGCATCCCAATGGTCTCTGCATTTTCCTCCAACTGGGAAAGGATCGACAATTTCCAGAGCAGGCCAGAGGACATAGTGATAGCTACATACCCCAAGTCTGGTGAGTTATCATGGTCTTAACAATTAGGGGGAAAAGCACTGCATGAAGCCAGGCTCTGGAATTGTTGACGGATCTGCTTTTGAGGCCCATCAGTTTCCCACCGCAGAGAAAACCAGCTCCATTGATTCATGGCTGCTGCTAGTGTTAATGCATAAGAACCCCTCTCCAGTGTGATGTAGCACACTCCCCACCAGTCAACCACTGGAACCCACCTCTTTCTCTTGGAGCCTGTACCCATCTGGAGTGGGCTACATTCCTTTCTTAACTGATTGCTCAGCAGCCTATGGCTTCCCAAACATGAATATCTCAAGCACTTCCCACCAAGGGAGAGTAATGGGCATTTCCCTCACACCAAGCATAAAACCAGGTTCAGGACTTTATTGGGCCATCATGGGGGCCTCTATATTGTCTGCATCTTGCTGTGGTGGAGAGTCAGATCTGAAGGTTATTATAGCACCTTCTGGGTTGTGAGGGTAGGCCTTTGGCAAAGCCTTATGATCAGCTCAGCTCTCATCATGCTCATTTGCGTTGGTCCACCATGATTAAGCAGAGACACAGCTGGGACCTGGAGGACTGGCAGTGTAGGGCCTCAGAGACCAGGGATTACAAACAAAAAAAAAATCAGAAATGGGAAGTAGGCACAAGTGGCCCAACAGTTTGGCAGAAGATCTCTAGAGTCAGGAAAGGGTGAAGTCTTGCCTAACTCAGGCAGTTCATTTATCATTTTACTGATGGACAAAGGCACCTCCCTTGCCTTTTTGCATATTTAAGAATGGCTACTCTCATTGTTACTTATGCAAAGTAGGGCTTTCCCACCAGGGAAGGTTCACAGAGGGAAACATTTCCCAGTGTGAGTAGGGCCAGCAAAGCCAGTGTTTGAACTGCAATCCTAGGTCTGTCTGACAAGAAGGAATTGGAAATTGAGACTTTTCCCCTTTGGCCATTGGTAGGTTGGATGGTTGTCAATTCATTCAAAATACTGGCCCAGCTTTCAAAACAAAGCGTCTTGCAATGCTCTGCATGAGACTGAAGAGGGTCTAGCCCTTGACAGAGAAGAGAGCAAGGTTTGTTGCTTGTTGCAATCCTTGCTGCAATAGCATTGTGGTATGCCACGGCTCTCAGAGGGAAGACAGCAGGGGCTAAAAGGCATTAAACTTGGGCCTGCCTGGGAGGATGGGCAGTATCAGAACTCTTCTACAGGGTGGGCCCAGTGGTCAACAGAGACTGATGTACTGCGTGTTACCAGGGAATATACATACTTGTAGTAAACCCTGAAGGGCAGGAACTGTGCTTTCTTCTGTGTTTTGCAAGCTCCAAAAGGAAAACAAGTCAGCCATTGTCTGACCTTAGGAGAGGCTGCTTGCAATCGCTGGGACAGGGTGTGGTCTTGCCTGCAGTAACTTTATTTGTGAAAGATGGCAAAAGAAAATGTCTTCTAGCAAATTAAAGAGATTCCATCTCTGTCCAGCCTCAAGCTAGTATGAGAGGGACAGATATACAAGATCACAGCAAAGATGTAAAGCAGGGTGATTTCTATTGGCTTGCTGGGAAATCTGTGGGCTCCGGTCTTTCATGAGTGTACCTGGGTAGGTAAGCCTGATATTTGTCTGAGGTTTTCCACTCGCTCTTTGCTTCCAGGCACCACATGGATGAGTGAAATTGTGGACATGATCCTGAATGATGGTGATCATGAAAAATGCAGGCAGGCTGCAATCACTAACAGAGTGCCCATGCTGGAATTCGCTGTCCCTGGAAAGATGCCAGCAGGTAAGCTGGACACTACTGTTATGTGACTACACACAATGCTTCACATATTTGGTACAGATGGCCTGCAGCTCAGGAAAGTCTTTCGATGGACTTTCTTCATAGGTCTTAGGTATTTAGGCTGCTGGGATACCCTGAAGAATATTATCTTTAGTCCCTTGCCTCTCATCAGGAGTTATTTCTTTGGAAATCTGCTTCACAGGCACAGAGCAACTGGCCAAGATGCCATCTCCTCGCAAAGTGAAGACCCACTTGCCAGTCCGCCTCTTACCCAAGTCCTTCTGGGAGAATGGCTGCAAGGTAACCAGATGCAGTGATCCTGTCTTCTCAAGAACAGCATGATGGGGGACCACTGGGGCTCCCTACACCATGCCATTACCTTCAGTGGGGTTTCCCAACCAAAACTGAGCAAGGGCTTGTTCTCCTGGACCTCCCACCTCCAAGGGGCATGTACAATGGTTTACAGGGGCTGTCATGTGTGTTACTGCTCTGCCCAGGTTTCAGAAGGGGAAGCAGAGAGAAAAAATGACCTGCCTGAAAGCACAGAAGAAGGCAGTGGAAAAGCTGTTGTACCAAACCCTGCAACCCAGGGAACTGATACAAGAAGTCATAAGGGGAAGCTCCCACTTTTATATTGAAAATGCTAGGGGTTAGGGACATAAGCCAATGGGCTTAGGAGGACAGAACAGGTACAGTTAAATAAATATTAACATTAAGGTACATGCACTTAAGAACTAGGTAACAGATAGTGAGTACTAACACTGTGGTACATATACTCAAGGAGCCTTAAACCCTCCTACAGCTCCAGAGCACTCTCTGGTCCTGCTGTCATGCTTACACCACACAGTCACTAAGCCACCTGGGAGGTCTTTGCTTTCTCTGTGGTCTACCTGGGAATTCAGGAATGGGGCCTCCACTAGCTCTGGTTTTATGTACCCTTCAGTGTATACAGTCCTGCTCTTGCCCCCTGTACTGGTTTGTCCTTGCCATCTTCATTTTCATCAGGCCAAGGACCCCACCCTACATTTCTGGACCTAGAAGCAGCCTCTGGCAGCACCCTATTGGGCCTGTGTTGGTGAACGTTCAATTATGAAGGGCCTGGAATCATCTTGGTTGTTGGCGAGCAGACCTCCCCAGCTCCCTTTGTGGCCAGGTTCTCTGCTCTCTGAGCACATATAGGGTTTCATCTGATTATAGGATACTACTGATGTCTGTCTGCTGGGCCTGCTTGCTAGTTCATATAGCACCTCAGAAAACTTCCTGATGACAGTGTAAGAGCCTTGAACCTTTCACCAAATTTCTGACACTGTCCCACCTCCTGGT